GTAGAGTCCAACTTTAACATAAAGTTCAAAGTCAAGAAGTAGGCTGGAAAATGAGCAAACAACAAAAAAGAACTTAACCATAGAAAGCTACCAAGGCCAAGAAACAAACTCAGAAGAAGACATCAATGGGGAAAATAGCCTAAACCTCAAAGAAAACTGCTAAATGGACACAAACCCAACAAAATTCCTGAAAGAGTTAAAGAAAAACATAGGAGTGGTTGAGGGAAAATTGAGAAAGGAAATGAGAGTGACACGAGAAAATTATGAAAAGAAGAATTAACAGTTTGGTAAAGAGGCACAAAAATTTACTCAAGAAAAGAAATCTTTAAAGAACAGAATAGGCCAAATGGAAAAGGAGGTACAAAAAATTCACTTAAGAAAAGAACTCCTTAAAAAGAAGAATTGGCCAAATGAAAAAAGAGATACAACACCTCACTGAAGAAAATAATTCCTTAAAAATTATAATTGGACAAGTGGAAGCTAATGACTCCATGAATCATCAAGAAACAATAAACCAAAGTCAAAAGAAAAAAAAAAGAAAATGTGAAATATCTCATCAGAAAAACCACTGACCTGGAAAATAGATCATCCAGGAGAGATAATTTAAGAATTATTGGACTACCTGAAAGCCAAGGTAAAAAAAAAAAAGCCTAAACATCATATTTCAAGAAACTATAAAGGAAAACTGTCCCAATATCTTAGATCCAGAAGGTAAAATAGAAATTGAAAGAATTCACCAATCACATCCTGAAAGATATCCAAAGAGAAAACTCTCAGAAATATTATAGCCAAATTCTGGAGCTCCACGTCAAAGAGAAAATATTGCAAACAACCAGAAAGAAACCATTCAAATATCATGGAGTCACAGTCAGGCTCACACAAGGTTTAGCAGCTTCCATGTTCAAGGAGTGGAGGGCTTGAAATGATATTCTGGAAGGCAAAGGAGTCACAAGTACAACCAAGAATAACCTATCCAGCAAAACCAAGTATAATCTTTCAGGAGGAAAAACAGATATTTTAGGAATTGAAGACTTTCAAGCATTCCTAATAAAAAGACCGGAGCTGAATAGAAAATCTGACATTTAAACATTAAACATTAAAGACTTATGGGGAGCATAGAAAGGTAAACATGAAGGAGAAATCATAAAAAACTCAATAAATTTAAACTGTTTACATTCCTATATGTGAAGATATATGTAATTACTAAAAATTTTATCATTATTAGGCCAGTTAGAAGCAGTCTACGTAGACATGGGCATAGACATGCCTATAGACATACACATGGGTGTGAGTTGATTATGTTGGGATGATCACAAAACAAAAATGAAGCAGTGAGAAAGAGGGATGCACTAGGAGAAGGGAGAGTTAAAAAGGAAGAAATTATCTCACATAAAAAATGTGTGCAAGGAAGAGCTTTTACAAGGGGGGGGCGGGGAATGGGGACAATGCTTGACTCTTGCTCTCATCAGAATTAGTTAAAAGAAGGAAGAGAAATGTACACACATTCATTTGAGTATAGAAATCTATCTAATCCAACAGGGAAATAGGAGGGTTACAGGATAAGAGAAAAAGGAAGGGAATGATAAAAGAGAGGGCAAATTAAAGGATGTGGTGATCAAAAGCAAAACAGACTTTTGAGGAGGGATAGGATAAAAACAAAGACAGAAGAATAAACAGAAGAAAATAGGATGGAGGGAAATAAACAGTAATCATAACTGTGAATGTGAATGGGATGAGACCATCCATAAGGTGGAAGTGGATAGCAGAATGGATTAGAAACTGGAATTGAACAATATGTTGCAGAAAGACACACACACACACACACACACACACACACACACAGAGTTAAAATAAGGAGATGGAACAGAATCCATTATGCTTCAACTGAAGTTAAAAAGGCAAAGGTAGCAATCATGATCTCAGACAAAGCAAAATAAAAAATAGACTTAACTGTCCAAATTTCTGTGCTTATTTCCAGGTTCATGTCTTCCAGGTAGTTAAGGTTGCTTGCTGGAAATTCCTATCTGATAAATGGGGAGTTAATTTATCTACTTGTTTAAATTCTGCAATTAAAAAAAAGGGAAAAGCCTAGCATCAGACAGAAACTAAATTCCATCTATTAATGTCAAATGTTTTCCAAGAATGTGATTAGGGTAAGAGAATTCAAAGATCCTCTAAATTTTTTACGACTTCCCATATTTTGTTGGGCTTGAATTCCTGCGGTGTGAACTGCAGGGTGACATAAAGTTTTATTTCCATTTGAACTCCTGAAGTTGTTTTACAATCCCTGCTGGGCAGTTTTCCACAATTTTTGGAGTTCACCTTGGATTTTAGCTAATGGCAATGTACAACCACAATAATCTACGGGGAACAAGAAGCTTTCTAGGGAAGGAGGGTATCTTTTTTTTCCTTCAAAATCCTCTACGCCCATGTCAAAATCACCATGTCTTCTAATTGTAGTAAGTAATCCTCTTAACTTGGCTATTGGAGAAACAGGTCATCCAATCTTACTAATAAATCATTCAGGGCTTTTTCCACACAGACTCAGAAACTTAGAATTCACATGCAGAAGACTTTGACTTTGGGTCTCTGGGCTAGAAAGAAGGCCAACAGGAAGAGTGCAAAAGTCACTCCACTAGTCACTGAAAGGAAAAGCATGAGCAGTGTCAGAGGTGATGTACAGACGATCACTTGACTAACAGAGAATGATACCTCTGCTGGTGGTACAGTACGAAACACTTCAACTTAGGGTACACATAGACCACAAAATGATCGGAGATCTATCTTCCTTCTGCAGGAGTTTCAAGATTTTAAGTTCAACCAAAATCTCTGAGTCTGAATGATTGTTTATACCTACAATCTTGGAAGCAGCTGGGAGGCATAGTAGATAAAGCACTGGGCATAGAGTCATGAAGACCTGAGTTCATATCTGGCCTCAAATACTTACTAGCTGTGTGACCTTGTGCAAGTCACTTAACCTCCATTTCCTCAATTGTTCAACAGGGATAATAACAGTATCTATGTAGCAAGATTGTTGTAAGGGATCAAATAAGATAACATTGGTAAGACCTGGCACAAAATAGGTACTGCAAAAATGCTTGTTCCCTTCCTTTGTCAGAGATAACTGTGAGGAAAACACTTCTTAAAAATTGTATTTGATCCTATTATAAATTTGACAAATACCAAGGAACATGAACATTTCTAAATACAAAGAACAGAAAAGCAGAATTGCATATGAAACTGTGATTCTCACTATGTACAGATGAAAGTATATAATCAGTTCAACATGTTAGTTCTAGATCTGTCTCACTTATCTACGTTGCCCTCTAAACTTCCCTCTGATCTCTTCTGTGCATTTTCTTTAAATGTTTCACAAATGCTATTTTCTTTCTTCTTTTTGACATTACCATCATATGCTTCCTTTCCCCTTCCCAGTTCTCCCTCCACAAAAAAAGAAGGAAAAAGAAATTAACCTTCCCTTGTAATAAGCTAGCATTGTCAAGCAAAACAAGTCTCTGCATATTGGTCATATCTGAAAATGCAAACTCATGCTACACCTCTCATCCATCAAGATGATGGGAATCATGCTTCATCATGAGCCCTCTGGAGTCATAGTTGTTGTTTTTCTTTACAAAGTTGTACTCATTGTGATAGAGTAGAAAGATCATTGACTCTGGAGTGAGAAGACCTGGATCCAAATCCCGCCTTGAAATGTTTTACCAGCTGTGTGATTTTGGATAAGTCATTTACTCTCCATTGACCTTACTTTCCCATAAATCTACAAAATTAGGAGATTGAACCAGAGGGCCTCTGAGGTCCCTTCCAGTTCTAGTATCACGATCCTATACTCACCTTATTTTGCATCAGTTCACATAAGACTTCCCAGTTTTTTCTGAATCCCTTCATAATTTTTTGCAGTGAAATAATATACTATTCCATTAATAATCAGCGATTAATTCAGCCATTCCCCAGTTAATGGACACTTCCTTAGAGGAAAGTGTCTAATAAACAGTAAAGCATTTTACAAGAGTAAGCTATTATTGATATTGTAATTATTACTCACTCTACTCTTTCATCGGTCCCTTTCAAGTCTTTCCCAATGCCCCTTAACTCTACTGTCTTCCCTCTGTTGATTTTCTAATTCATCCTACACATAGCTTGTTTGTACATAGTTGGCCGTTGTCTCCACATTAGATTGTAAATTCCATTGGATCAGGGATGTCTTTTGCCTTTCTTTGTATTCTCAGTCCTTAGCACAGTGCTGAGCACAAAGTAGGTGCTCAATAAATGTTCGTTAATCAATTGATTGAATGTTCTCCAGTTCTCCCTTCTAAAAGGCAGATTCCTTTCATTCTGTTTTTAACTTTTACTGGAAGACCCCACAACCAAAGAATAGATTTGAATACAGGACACACATTTATCTCCGCATTTGATTTGCATAAAACTGAAGTGTGAGCTTACAACTTGCATACTTTTTAAATTTTTTGATACATATATATACATACACACAGAAATACATAGATAAATATATATATACACACATATACATATGTATGTGTGTATACACATACACGCGTGTGTTTTGGGAGGCATTGTGATTGTGAATAGAGTACTGGGCTTGCAGTTAGGAAAAATTGGATTTAAATCCTGCTTCTGACATTTGCTAGGTATGTGACCCTGAGCAAGTTACTTAACCCAACAAGTTGCCTTCTGAGGGGAAATAAAATGCCTTATGGAAGGAGTTACCACAGTGGGGAATACCTTGCACTGATGAAACCACAAATCACATATCTATATATTTTTTTTTCTTTCACAGATATACCATTTTAGGGTTGAACCCCACATTTGAGTATTGTTAGAATATGACAACTCTTCATATCTCTTGGATGACTCTTGAGGTTTCAAGTTTTCATGTGAAATTTTGGGTGTGAAGGTGGCCAAGCTTTCTGTGAGTCTGTCACTTGTACCAGTAGTAATCTTAATAAATAAAAAAGGAGTACCTATGGTGGTGATGACTGTCCCAGCAAAGAAAAAGGCACTTCCAAGGTCCCAGTGACTACTGTTGTTGGAAGAATTTCCTATTGGACTGACGCCAGCATTGTCCGCATCAAGCGCATGCTGCAAAGAAAGAGAGGCAAAGTGAGCCTTGTTTTGCAAAATTATTTCCTCTACATCACATTTTCATCATGTCATCCCAGCGATCTAGAACTCTTAGTAGCTCCTCACTGACTATTAGAGCAAGTGCCAATTTCTTCTCCCAGCATTCAACATTCATTCTGAAGTGGCCACGTTTACCTATCCAACCTTATTCCCCACTACTTCCCCACATGAACCCTCCGTCAAGTTGGGTTAATTTCTTCGCTGCTTCACATTTATGTCTTATTCTGTCCCACCTTTCTACTTTAGCTCATGCCATTTTCCCTGCCTGAGGCTCAGTATGGTCTTTTTAGTCCCGGACTAAGAATCAAGATATGTGGGTTATAGCCCTAGTAAGGGTCACTTTCTCAGGCTTCAGTTTCCTTATTTATAAAATGAGGGAATTGGATTATTTATTCTCTAAGGATCTTTTTAGTTATAACATTCCATCTGTAAGTCTAGAGGATGCTGTTTCCTCCCCTCTCCAGCTTTCCAAATCTTACCTATCCCTCATGTTTTCTATAAAGCGTTCCTCAAATACCCTTAGCCCATACCAATCTATCCCTGTTCCTCTCCTCTATGGTGCTTATCTATACCATGACTTTTGTATCGAATCACATAGTGTTGCTTTCTAATTATTTTATGTGTTTATATGGCCTCAGTTTCTTAATCTGTAAACTGTGGACATTGAACTAGATTATCTCTAAGGCCCTTCAAGCACTAATGTGAGGCCAACAGAATATGGACTGTTTCTCATACTCTTTTTTGGATTACCACAGTATACAGCACAGTGTTGAATGAGTGGATGGATGGATGGATGAATTAAGAAGAATTTATTAAGGACTTACTATATGCCAGGCACTGTGCTCAGAGATGGTAATACAAAAAGAGCAAGAAAGTTCTTGCCTTCAAAGAATTTATATTCAGTTATGGGAACAAAATACATATAGAGGAGTGTTATACTAGGGTATAGTACTTTGGGCAAGGAAATCACAGAGATGGTGAATGGAGAAATATGACAGCTGACAAGTTCTTTTCAAGAATGACAGTATTAATTATTGTTCAAATTTTAGGGATAATAATGCTGGGAGTAACAACCTCATAAGGTAGTCATGAGGATCACATAAGATAATCTACATAAAGTGCTTTACAAACTGTAAAACTTTATGCAGTATAGCATAGTGAGTAGAGAACTGGCCATAGAGTCAGAAATAATAATAATAATAACAATAATAAAAATAATAGGTAGCATTTCTATGTCACTTTAAGGTTTGCAAAACCCTTTTAAAATGTTCTCATTTGATTCTCAAGACAACCTGGGAAATAGGTGCTCTTATTATCCCCCATTTTGCAAATGAGGAAACTGAGGCAGAAGAAGGTTAAGTGACTTGTCCAAGGTCACACAGCTAATAAGTGCCTGATGCAGGATTTGAACTCAGGTCTTTCTGACTCCAACTTCAGGGCTCTATCCACCTCACCTGGAAAACTGGAGATCAAGTCTAGAATCTGACACAACCTCTCAGTGCCCCCAAGTAACTCTTTAAGACTGTAAATTTCAGAGTTGTTGCAAATCCGTATTGGTTAAGAAATTTCTTCACTGGGAGTTCTCTACAGCTTTGAAATCAAAAGTATGCTTTTTTAAAATGCTCAGTAGATGTTCGTTATTACATGGAAGTTCATGAGTTTGGGGGAAGCAGATCCCATACAAATAAAAAAATCAAGGGAAATACTCACTACCCATGAGTTGAAAGTGTTATAGATGGAAAATTAATAGGTGCAATCAGGTAAGGATCAAATAAAAAGATGAACTTTCACCTAACCTAGCTGAGATTCCTGAGAGATTTCCATTAGGGCTTGGTGGGAGAGGAAAATAAGGATGAAAGAGGAAGAATGGTAAAAGGAGAGGAAGAGCAATTAAATAATTAGAGAAGAGAGACTTGAGTAGAAGAGGAGAGATGATGTAACCACTGAGCATAAGTGAGGAAAATCTATATAGAAACAGTAATAAGTAAATAAATGTTGTTGAAATGTGAGTCTTTTTGCACCAAGTAGCTCACAGTATTAACAGTTAAAAACTATGCATAATAGCTATGTCTGTATGGTACCAAAACATCTGGGCTAAAATGGAAAATTTCAAACCCCTGTATATTTTGTTTATGTGATACTGAATGTCCAGATGTTTGGAAATAGCCAGCCAATTGACTAAGCAGTTAAAAAAAAAAAAGCTATCATGGCTAAGTCACTTTTCCATTGCTTTCTGCTTTTAAAAAATGTGTGAAATATTACAGAAGACTATAACCAGCCACCCCTAATAACATAAACCCTGACTTCCTGGAGCTCACAGTCCAACCATTTAAAACTGCATCAGGTTGTGATTTTTTTTTTGTACAACCTATAAGCTATCTTTTTACTGATAAGAAAGGGCAGCTAGGTGGTGCAATGGATTGAGTGTCACGGCTAGAATCAGGAAGACTCATCTTCCTGAGTTCAAATCTGGCCTCAGATGCTTACTAGTGTGACACTAGGCAAGTCACTTCACCCTGTTTGCCTCAGTTTCCCCATCTGTAAAATGAGCTGGAGAAGAAAACGGCAAACCGCTCCAGTATCTTTGCGGTAAAAACACCAGATGGAGTCACAAACGGGGCCACAAATGCTCTCCCACAAAATGGCGGCATAACTGAAATGACTGAACAACAACTGATAAGAATGAGTTATTTACAGAACATAGTTTAAATCACCCTTATGGCACAATTGACGATGATTACTTATTCAAATGGACTGCCACACTTTACTGTTTCAGTTGAAAAGGATGATGTGTCCTTTCTGCTGGGAACTGAACATTTTCTTCAGTGTAGTCTACATGGCCCAGTGGCAAAGACAGCTAGACTTGGTATCACAGGACACATCCTTCACATTCTGGCTTTGTTAGTCGCTACGTTCGTGACTTTAGGCAAGTTAATTCACCCCTGTGGATGAAATGCTCAGTCCCTCATCTATAAAATAAGCAAATTGAACTAAATTACCTCAAAAGTTCTATTCAGTCCTAAAACTATGATCTAGAGTTGCCAGACAAGCAAAAATCAGTGTTGCAACCAACATTTTAATATCACAACACCGTAGATAGAGAGTCAGAAGGCCCCTAGGAGGGACCTCAGAGGTTATTAATCTCATTTTAACTTCTGATAAAACATCTCAATTCCTCTTCAGTTTTTATAGTTCTACATTTTCAAGTATGCAAAGCACTTAACATAAATTACCTAATTTTGAGCCTCTAAACCAGGGGTGGAGAACCTGTGGCCTCAAGGCCGCATGTGGCCCTCTAGATCCTCAAGCGTGTCCCTTTATCTGAATCCAAATCTTGGATTCATTCTGTGAAGTGTGGATTCAGTCAAAGGCCGCACTTTGAAGACCTAAAGGCCCACGTGTGACCTCAAGGCTGCAGGTTCCCCAATCCTGTTCTAAACAACCCTGTGGGAGAGGTAATACAATGCCCATTTTACAGATAAAGAAGCTGAGGCTTGAATAGTCATGTAACTAGTAAATAATTATCAAAGGCAAATTTTTATTCCAGGTTTCCCTGACTCCAAATCTAATACTCTACAAACTATACTATAACGCTTCTCAAACAGAGTTTTGGAACAGTCTTGGGTGTTTGTTTTCTCACAGGGTCATTACCTAATATTAGCCATTTCTCTGAAACTGAAATGAATACCTTAATTCCTACGAATTTCTAAGGACTTCAGCTGTACCTCACATTAAAAACATCCAATATATGTAAATCTAGATTTATAGAAAAAATCAGCTAGTTAGGGATATTTCTTTGCTTTTTAAAACTTCACAGAATGAATCCAGCATTTGGATTCAGTCAAAGGGCCACACTTAGGACCCAGAGGGCCTCAAGGCCACAGGTTCCCCACCTCTGGTGTAGAGGTTCAAGGTTTGGTAATTTACATTAAGTGCTTTGCATACTTGAAAACATGGAACTATAATATTCCTTTACAGGGTTCATTTTTAAATATTAAAGTTAAAACTATTTAATTCACACAACTCTGAAGAAAAGACATTATAGTACAATGGAAAGAATACTAGATTTAGAATCAGAGGAACTATGTTTGAATACTGTCTCTATCATGCATGAACTTGGGCAAGTCACTTAACCTCTATGGGATTCATTTTCATCATCCATAAAATGAGGGCATTGAACTGAATAAACTCTAAACCCCATTCCAGCCCTAAATCTATGATTCTATGACCCAGTGTCTAATGTACATATGTATGTACTAGCAAATGTATGCACCCAATAGAACATAGTACAACTTAAGCTCCTTTAGTACAGCATCCAGGAGAAGAGAAGGTAGTCAATAGTATCAAATGCACTATACAGGTTGAAAAGGATTAGGACTGAGAAAAGCCAATCAAATTTGGCAACTTAGAGATCATTTGTAACTTTGGAGAGAGTAGCTAAATTGAACAAGGTTGAAAGCTAGATGACAAAGAGGTGAGGAGTGAGTAAGAGGAGAGGTGTAGGAGTTTGGTCAAGAAAGGGAAGATAGATAGGACAATAATAGTGTGAGGGAATGATAAGGTCTAGTTAAATTTTCTTTTTTAAGGATGTAGGAGACTTGAGCATGATTAAGGGCAATAGAGAAGGAACAAGTTGATAGGAAGAAGGTGAAAATTCCAGCAGAAGAAGAGAAGATGATGATTTGAGGATATAATCTACTGGAGAACAGAAAGGACAGAATTAAGTGCAGATGCACAGGGGTTGCCCTTGGCAAGGAGAAGGGCTGCTTATTTGTCAGAGACTGGAGGAAAGGGAGACAGAATGAAAAAGGATGTCACAGGATTTTAAAGTAAAGAAAATAAGAGAAGAAAGAGCTTATGTAGAAGCAAACTTCCAATCGCAGTCCCTTCTCAGTCCAGTACCAGTGCTTTATTCTGCTATACTACACTATTTCATAGGGTTAGATAAGCCTAGTATA